GAAGCCTCTTTCAATTATTCGGAAATTGGGTTTCTTTAGTCATTTCATTCAAAATATTTTTTCCCTAAAACTGCTCGCAAACCCCCTCTTTTTTTTCACATTTATCATCTGCATTGCACGGCGATTACAACAACAACAAAATTAACAAATTCCACCAGATACAAATAAAATTATAACAGTAAATAAGTTCAAAAGTAACTGTTAAAAATAGAAATCCTCTCACATTTCCAGCAGTTTTTCGGCGACGAAAGATCAAAAAGCGTCAAATCTGGAAAGTAAACAGATTAAACAACTGTGAACAATATGACATTCTTAGCACATCATTTCCAGTATTAACAAAGGAGTTAAACATACCTTTTCCGAGGTCGCTCTGATAACTTCGGGGTGACTCGATATAACACAGTGGCATTGAGCCAAATTTGCTGGAAGAGCGCTGCTCTGTTCGCAAAAAATTTTAACACAAATTGGGAATGACGGCGCCTATATATATATTCCTGGGCGTCGCTGGCATGACGCCAAACGCTATTCTTTTAGTCATTGCGGAGTGATTGAAACGTTCAGTGGTATAGATTAGTTGAATCCGCTTCAGAAGGCTCGCTTTCGTTATGGGAGTTCCTGCCTTCTTTCGTTGGCTGACAAAAAAGTACCCATCTGTGATAGTGGACGCAGTAGAAGATAAACCTAAAGATGCTGATGGTAATCGTGTTCCAGTTGATACAAGAGGGCCGAACCCCAACTTTCAGGTGCTTCAGAGTTTTATATCTGTTCAGAAATTCCAGCAAATTTTTTTGATTGTTATTTTCCAAAATTTGATAAGTAATCACTGTGACTGTTGTAGGAATTTGACAACCTTTACTTGGATATGAATGGTATAATTCATCCTTGCACTCATCCTGAGGATCGTCCAGCTCCTCGCTCTGAAGATGAGATGTTTGTATGGTCTTTTCTAAATGGAATTGATTTTTGCACTCTTTTAAAGTAATTTATTATCAGAAATCAATAGCGTAAAAAAATTAACATAACGTGGCCCAACCTATCACGCTTAAATTTTGTTGTTTTTAGGTTTTAATTTTTGAATACATAGATCGTGTTTTCGCCATTGTTAGACCAAGAAGGCTTTTGTACATGGCTATCGATGGTGTGGCGCCAAGGGCGAAAGTATAGTTTCCACGTTATAATGAGTGTTATTTTTGATTACAAATTTTCGCGCCCGTGAAAGACCATGTACAACAGAAATATTTTTCCACTTTTCTGCAGATGAATCAGCAAAGAAGTAGACGTTTTCGTGCTTCAAAGGAAGCGGCTGAGAAGGCTTTACAAATTGAAAAAGTAAGAGCGAAGCTTGAGGCAGACGGGTTTCCGCTTCCATCGAAGAAGGATTCAGAATTACACTTTGATAGCAATTGTATAACTCCTGGAACACCATTTATGTCCAGGTATCCGGGTTTTAAAGCATCTTCTGTCATTCTAGCAAGTTGCGCGTTTTTACATAGTTTTCAAGGAATGGATATTTGACTTTGTTGTTCCTAGTAAAACTTTTTTCTTTAATCAGGTTACTCATTGTATTTTACTATATCTTTGTTTTTATTTTTATTTGTATTTTTATTTTTCTTTTTTTGGAGGATGTAGGATCGTAAGAAATGTTTTTTTCAGGCTGGCGGTTGCACTGAAATACTATATACATAGAAAATTGAGAGATGATCCTGGGTGGCAAGGGATAGAGGTTTTTCGTGCTTGATTCTTCTGTGTTTAGTACCACTATTTTTCAGTCAAGCGCTTATCCTATTTGAACTCAATAAAAAACATTAAATCATCCTTTTGCTTCAATCAAAAACCAGAAAAGTAATAGCAATAATATTTTTGCATTTTACGCACCTAGTCTTGCACCTCTGTTTAAATGTCGTTTATAGTGGTTTTTGCAGAAAAATTTTTTTCACTGGGAGGAAAATGAACAGTGCCGGAGATTAGTAGAAACATTATTGGATAGAGGGGGGAGGGGCTTTGCGAAGCAAAACCGGTAGGGAATCTTTGATTTCGTAAATTCTCCAGGTGCCAGTTAGATTTTCTCCAAGCGTATACTACAGACCTCTAGGAAGCGCCCTACTCCAACTTTTCGTTCTTCTCTAAAAACTTCGACAAAAGTTCCCTGCAAATTCTAATTTGAACGGCATTATAATTTAGTGGTTTTCCAATTTGTATTGGAAATCTGATGATGTAAAGCACTTCCGTTAATTTTTTCTTGACACTAGCTAAATGTTTTTTCAGTTTATTGTTACGTTTTTTTGGTGTTCACTTCTTTATCAATATACTAGATTTTTTTGACTTCTGATTTAAAAGATGCGTCTCTTCCGGTCTTATCTTCTCATATAATCACTACAAGTTTTGTACATTTTTTTGCTATTTCTTTTTTAAAGTATGATATCCCAGATTTTGTTCCGTAGGTCATCTTGTCGGATGCAAATGTTCCTGGAGAGGGAGAACATAAAATAATGGATTTCATTCGTCGTCAGCGGTCATCGCCATCTCACGATCCAAATACAGTACATTGCCTTTGTGGTGCTGATGCTGACCTTATTATGCTAGGATTGGCGACGCATGAGCCTAATTTTAATATAATTCGTGAGGAATTTATTCCAAACCAGCAAAAGCCGTGTGAGATATGCAACCAGTATGGTCACACTATTGATGATTGTCGGGGGTTTGTTTATTTTTTTCACGATATATTTTGTGTTGACGATCTTTTTCCTATTATTCTCTTTTTCGCTGTGTGAAACCCTAGAAGCCATTTCAATTTTCTTAGTTGCTGCTGACGGGTAAAACTTTATCTGTACCTTTAAACTTTTGTTTTAAATTGATACCAAAGGTGATTTTCTACGTAGAATCTTTGAGAGGTCATTGATAGTAAGTTCTAATAACTATTTTTAAGGCTTTCACAAGAAGAAATTTGTAATTATCAGTCGACTCCCTTGCAAAAAGAAGCAAATTTTATATTTGTTCGAATACCTGTTTTGCGAGAGTACCTAGAAAAGGAACTTGTAATTCCTAATTCACCGCTACCCTTCGATCTGGAAAGATCAATTGATGATTGGGTTTTTTTAATGTCTATTATATGCTTATGTTTTCTTCAGTAGTTGCTGAAAACAAAATTTCCAGTCATTTTTACGTGAGTTTATCTCTTGTGGACACGGTAAATTAGCTTCCTTTTCTGAACAGAAAAAACTTGGTTGTTTATTTTTTTAAGCTAAAGTAAAAGTTATTTTGGGTATGTTTGATATTCTTTTCTTTGGTGGTGTTTTGCAGCTGAGCCTTGTTTCTGCAAATGCTTACTTTCAGGACAAACTTTATTATTATTTTTATTGTAATGCGAAATAGTTTCAGGTGTTCATGTGCTTTTTTGTCGGAAACGATTTTCTTCCTCACCTGCCATCACTTGAAATACGTGAAAACGCCATAGATCGTCTCATAAAATTGTACAAAGAAATGATCTACAAGTTGAGAGGGTAGCTGCTCAAATATTTTAGTAAATGACGTCAGTATTGCTTAATAAGCGGAAATTTAATTTTAGCTATTTAACGAAAGATGGCGAGGTTTATCTGGAGCGAGTTCAAATGATTTTAGACGGTTTGGGGAAGGCTGAGGATGAGATATTCAGGTCACGTCAGGTATAGTCTAGTCTCTGAATGTTGCTTATATATCTAAATAAACAGACAGTTTACAAATATTTAGGAAAGAGAGTTGGCAGTGAGGAAAAAAGCAAAGATTAGGCGCCAAAATGAACTTCGATTGGGAGCACCGGCATATGCACTCTCATACGAATCTTCACCAACTTCACATTTATGTACATCAAATTCCCCTGATTCAGAAACACACAATTTAACAAAAGTTGCACGTGTTGAGGTCTGTCTTTGTGAACAAAGTTGCTTCCCTTGCTTCATTCAGATATACTTTGGTATTCTTTGAAGGGAAATATTGTGCAATTTAGGATAAAAAGGGATGTGAGAGCAATGTTCTTTAATCCTTCTTCCTCTCTGCAAATTTCATTCTGTTCCGGTGACATTGATGGAAGTAAGAGGATGCAGCTTAATAGTGTAATAGATGAGAATGAGCTAGGAACTAAAATCAAACAACAGCGGCCCTATGATTGTTAAGCATTAGTGATGTCTGTGATGAATTTAGCAACTTTTTGGGGTTTGGTTGATTTACAAAATTTGCACTCTAAGGGTCCACACTGTTTATGTTGTTTGAATACGGTTCCAGTCAGAGTTTTTACTGTCCGGACATTATTTTTTAAAGCAGACTACTTTCGCTTTGATAACTTTAATAGATATACTGTAAGAAGTTTTCTGTTTTACTTTGCAGTTAATACAGTAGTGGTAGATCAAAAAACTACGGAAATTGAGTGGAATTAGGCGTATTGTACCAACTTCTAGTCTCTTTACTCTGTGCAAGCTTCAGCTGATTCCCTTAATTTCTACTTTTGTTACTTTTTTTTAGAGGTCGAGTTTATGTTCTGTGAGGGTAATTTTGTTTTTTACGCACAGATCCCACCGAGTGTGTTTTTCACATAAGCAAGACCTCTTAGTGACTGTCCCGACCGGTTATTTTGGAACATACTATTTGTGGATGCAAATAGGCTGGTTTTTCACGTGGTTAACTAAGTTGTTTCACTTAATATTTAATTTAGATTGAGTAGTTGTGAAGAGTTTGCTATTATTTTGCCTGCTGCAGTTGTATCTACGTGCTGCTCATTGAATTTTTTGCATCTTTCAATAGTGTACAAAACGAGATAAAAATTAAGGAAAGAACAAATTAGCCCTTAAACCGAATTCTAGAAAATAACTCAGCAAGCGCATTGGATACCAGTAAAATTCAACAACCGCTATGTAGTCACGGATGTGACGAGCAAAATGGCACCAAACAGTCAGAGTACTCTCAGAAAAAAAAGCTCTAGTTTGGACTTAAAGCAGCGTTTTTTGCAGCATGAAGCGAGAGAAATTACCATACCCCTTATGATACATGCGGACAAAGAATAGAACTGCGCTACCCTATGTTCATAAAGCATTTTTATTTTTTTGCCTAAAATTTGGTGAGTAGGGCTGTTTTTTTATCGAATATACGAAATAATAAAAGATAATTCTCTTTCTTCATTTACTTTTTTTTCTAATTTTTTTTATTTTTTTCTTTTTAGAACCGTTCTTTCATCATTATTTTTTAATGTTTGCTCATTGGATAGGGAACTGCATTTTTTGCGTTTCTCATTTTTTATTTTTTTATCCAGCCACTGGGGTACATTACGTTTTTCTTGCACGTTTTTTAACACCTGTTGACGTAGGTTATAAAAGCTTTCCCGCAAGGTGTAGTGTTACGGAGTAGAACTCTTATGTGTCCCTGTTAGGTTGACTTGGACCGTAGCATGATGCTAGAAGAGTTTATTGTTTTTCATGGTCTTCTGAAAATGGGAAAACTGCTAATATTACTGTCAAGTGGTTGAGCATACACTTATAATAGTCTTTTGCTTAAAACACTACTTGTCTGTAATTCTTTTCTTAATTTTTTGCTCAGCATATGTCTTGGATTTAGTGAATTTTTTTGCCTCCTCAGAAGCAAATGTTTTGTAAATGCTTGGAAACTTAGAAAGTGCATAGTTTCGAACATTCATCATTTTTCGGGATCCGCTTAGGTGTTTCCTACTTATATCGGGAGTTGGCGAAGTGTACTGGTTTTTGGATTATTGTTCTGGATACTAAACGACTGTCTCTTTAACGACAATTCATAATTCATTTGAACCAGTGTTTGGGACCGTAATGCTTCTCTGTACTTAGTTGGACGTGGAAAAGGCACATATTTGGTTCCTTCCTCTGTGAGCGTTCCGTTTTCGCTCTTGAGCGCTCGGTGGAGAAGAGGCTAAGTTGTGAATTAGGTCGTAAAACTGAAGTTGATGTTTAGTTTTTTGATCCTGGGTAGTGTGGTTAGTTTTCGGTATTGTTTTCTGCTTCAATACTAGTTATAGGAAATTTAGTATAGTTTTAACTTCTTGTTTAGGCACTATCAAACTAGGATTGTTTCGTTGTTAAGTCTGTTCCAAATAAGCTCTTTGATAACGGGTTGACTGAAAGGGTATTTGTTCAATGCCTCACTTGAGGTTACATGCAGAATTGCGCTGATTACATTTCCTCATTTTCAGGGAGTTGCACGTAATTGTTATTATTATTTATTTATTTATTTATTTATTTATTTTTTTGCTTGTGCGTGTGTATTGTTTGATATATTTATTTGGGGATAGTGTATAGATTACAGCAGTATAATTAGAACATGCATTGACTGGATTGTGGGCTTATATTGGGCAGTTACTTTTTAGAATAATTTCGAGGGTTAATAGTCGTGCACTTTTTGGTTTTTTGCAGAACTAAGGGCAATTCAGAATTATTTTGGGGAACCTTGAGTGGTAGTGAATCTCTTCGGATTTATTATGTTAGAGGGATAGATGAGAGATTTTCATACATTTTATCCTTAGGCAAAAAGATTTTCCGGTAAAGTTTTTTGTTGATGGAATTTTTAGCTTTTACTTCCTATCTTCATCCTCGCTTACAGGCAGCGGACACTAAGTCTACGTCAGAGGATGGCGGTCCATCTCGCAAACGAGTCCGTGAGGTGCTTTATTTTACTGAGCTTTTATTGGCCTATTCTTGCCGTATTTAATTGTCTGATTTGTTTAAATGACTTTAATTTTTGAGAATGAAACATGGTTACTGTCAAGCTTTCTCACCATTAGTTTTGAAATTGTTTTCAGATAGAGCATGAGGATGACGACGAACCCTATGACGAGGTTCGACTTTGGGAAAGCGGTTGGAGAGAAAGATACTACAAGTCAAAGTTTGAAGTTGATGGTGACGATATTAATTTTAGACGTAAAGTTGCATGGGCTTATGTTGAGGGCTTGTGTTGGGTTTTGAAGTATTATTACCAGGTACAGACTAATGACGTCTTACTTCTTTTCCGGCTTTTTAGTTGACTAAACATTACCATGAAGATTTTTCTATTGAACAGAAGTTTTACTTAAAGTGTCATTATTTTTGAAATGCCTCTGAGCTTCTGTAAAATAAAATCGTTATTACTGCAGTCTAAAGCATCTTCTTAAAAAATTAAGTTCCTTGTCGATAACATACCAACTTAGGTATTTAATTCTTCAATTGCTCTGCTCGTTTTTCGTGACTCACCTTTTCACTCTTTATTGCATTTCTAAGACTTAGTGTTACCTTTGATCCCCATTGTTCGTTGAATTTTGTTACATTACATTTCGGATGGCAGTAGTGGAGCGAATATGCGTAAAATCTTGTGCGTAGATCTAAAGTTCACCTTCAACAAGTCCATAGCCTCTAGGCCCACTTTTCAGGAAGTTTTCTCTGTAGCAGAAAAATTGCAGTTGAGAAAATGGACAAAGTTTTTGAAATACTCGTTTTCCCGCAGCTGCGGATTAGTGTAATAAAAAAGTACTCTTAAATCGTAAACGTTGTTAAAGTAGCGGTAGATGAATCTTGAGTGGGATTGATTATAAATTCTTGGGAGTGGAAGACCTATAGGACGTCTATTGCACGGCTCAATACTTGTATTATGGTACAAAAAAACTGTTTTTACAAGTTTCTGGAAACCAAATTAGTACTGGTTTCTTAAAGACTGAGAAGAAAACATGAATATGTGTGAAATTGCGGAAGTGGAAGGGCTGGAATCAAGAAGCCATGTAAAAAAGTTGAAAAGTAGGTTATAGATGAAATCACCACCTTTTGATGTGGGCACGCTAAATTACCACAGTGTATTACAGGACGCTGGTTTTAGGGATGTGTGAGTTGGGACTGGTACTTTCCTTACCATTACGCTCCCTTCGCTTCTGATTGTGATACAGTCTCTCATTTTGTTCCTTGCTTTGATGAAACAACAAAACCTTTTAAACCTTTGCAACAACTCATGAGTGTTTTTCCAGCTGCTAGCAGGTAAATATTTACTGTTTCCTAAATGTTCTCAAGTGATCTCTTAATTCTGTTAAAATGTATTGCTTTAGGAAACATCTGCCAACGGAGTGGCAAAAGTTAATGACCAATATTGATTCTCCAATTATTGATTTTTACCCAAATGATTTTCGGATTGATTTAAACGGGAAGAGGTACGCTTGGCAGGGTGTTGCATTACTACCTTTCGTTGACGAGAAACGCCTTTTAGAGACACTTGAGTCGGTTAGTAATGTTTAGTGTTTTTGGGATTTTAAGTTTTTAATAAAAAAAGGATAAAATAGGAGCATTATACGATTGCCTTGAATTAATTTCAGATGGAAAAAACGCTGTCCGCTGAGGAGAAAAAAAGGAACAGCAGAGGGTTTTGTAGAATTTTTGTTGGTTCGAAGCATCCTTTGCACAGTTTCTTGGAGGAATTTTATTCAGCTGCTGAAATGAAAGGTACTCATGGCTAAGATTAATTTTGAAATTTGGAAGGTACATAATATTTCAAGATAGAAATATGGTGATCCTTAACCCGTCGTTCACCAACGGAATGGCAGGCCAGATTGCTGTAGACTTGGAAGCGATACCTATTGGTGGTGACTTTCAATCGCCTATTGATAATCAAGGCTACCCAGATATAGTGGTACCATATATCTTTTTAATGATTACGTATATGCATTTTACATACATGTATATTTACATGCTAGACATCAATATTTTGTTTAGAAAAACGAAGTGTTGTCGGCCGTATTCCACGATCCGGAGTTTAAAAAAGGTTTTGTATTTCCAGCCAAGCGTCTACAAGGTGCCAAAGAAATTCCTCGTGTGCTCAAATCAGAAGACTGGGACAATAGAAAGGTTCCACCTCCGTTTTCTTTAGATCATCATCGGTTCTGTTTTTTCCTTTACTACTCTTTTTAAGAAAAAGTGTCCTTGTTCAATTTAACATTTTAAGAGTAAATGCCGTTTTTATAGTCATATTATCCACAAATCGGTTTCACACGTGATTTGCCTAGAGGATGCCTTAGTACCACTGGTCGTCGGATGTTGTCGCATGAAATGAATGCGTACTGCTTATCTAATCAAGGTGGATCTGTATCAATATCCCAGTTTCCGGACGAAAGCCAGTTGCATACACAGTCCTGCCATAAATTTACGGGGTTAGTTTCTACAAGTTCAAGTTGTTGTACAGAGATTGAGAAGAGCGCTCATAATGAGTAGTTTTTACTCTTTGTTGTTAAGCACTGTGTGAACAGTAACGATGGCTAGTCATCGCTTTCTTAGTCAGCCTGGGGAAGAAGGCATTGTGTATTGTACTATTTTGTGGCCGTGTCGCCGTACAGTGTTCTCTCAACTAAAAAGTTGATTTTGAGGCACAGTCCTCAACACCGGTTTTTTTACTTGTTCACCATTTATACTGATCATATTTGTTAAGAATATCCAAGGAGAAGTTCAGCAGTCGTAGAAAGCTAGTATAGGCATTCTTATTCGCAAATAAATTCTGCAGTGTGTTACAGCAGAAAGCACTTGTATTACCTAGCCTCCAATGCTTCCCTGATCTGCATATTACTTCACAGTACAGTTAATTTTTTTTTTTTTGATGTTACTTTTGTGTATCGTTTTGCGAGTTTTATTTCCGATACATTTATTTTCTGCATTTCAGAGTAAATGAGTTTTTTTTTTAAACTTTTCTGTGATCTATGAACTACATAGACTTTTTTGCGTGAGAAGTAGGTCGTTTATATGGTCTTTTTTGTTCACTTTGTTCATTTCCGGTTGCGGTGGTGTAGGTTAGAGAGTGCAAAAAAAGTTCTCTCACGATGTTCTGCACTATTAAGGAGACAATATGCAACTTTTTGCGTTGAGTCGTTTGAGGAGATTAACAGTCTGTAATTCGTAACTTTTCTTCTAAGAACGCGTGATTTTTGGCTATTTCTCTTCCACTGTCACAGCTGTGTTTCGGGAACTGAAGAAACACGTTATCTGTGGTTAATTTTGAATGTAAGGGGCAACGTGGTGTTTTCGTAAGTATTAATTCCTTTTTAGTATGTTTTTTATTAGTGCTATATTGCTTCTTCTACAAACATTTTTATGTTACTGTACACTGGCGAGTGGAAACTTGTTTTGTCTGACGGGCTGAGCGATAAAATGTAACTGTTAGAGTCACAACTTAAACATGAAGCAAGTTCTTTCTTGTTCATGTGCGGTAGTATAAGTACGATCATCACTGATTAATATCGAGAGTTTTAGGATGATACTACTTATGACGAGTGTATTACTATATGTTTATTTTATTAGTAGCACAAAAATCAGTATTCGTATACAAAATTCAAGTTGTAGGAACGGTCTCTGTCGTACATAAAAACATAGGTTATTCACAGATCACTATCACTTCTTGAAACGGTTGGTTGTTCGTTTGCAGGTGCAGAAGTTAAGCGTAACGAAAGCACCAGACATCATATTTACAAAAGAAATTTAGTGAAAAGTTTAGTTCTTTGAAAATTAATTTTATTGTAGAAACTCATATTTATTTTTATTCCCAAATTAAGTTTATAATTCGATTTGGTTAAAGGCACTTGAGCTGGCTGAAGTGCAGCACTTTGCTATTATGCATATCACTCTATTAAATAGAATTAACTTCGAGGAAGCTGATATTTTTTTGCAGTTATTTTTTAAGCTTTCTGCGTCTTATGCAGTTTCGTCGCTTATTTTTTGCTTTTCACTTCGAGTAAGGCAGTTTTTTGCGTAACTATAAAGCGATTTGTGCGCCGACCACGTTTTTTTGCGTGACACCTACACAGGTTTTAGAAATTTGCTTGTATAATCAGCCTGTTAGGTTGAAGAAATGCTATCAGGACAACTTAGGAAGTGTTTCATCTAATGGTATTAGTCCCATCAGGCTTTTTTTTGATGAAACTACAGGCTGAAGGCACCCACCTATAGTTTTTTTTAAAGAGTGTACAGAATTTATGATTATTTCTCTCTTCCTCGTTTATTCTGTTGAATGTCATGCATCCTTTCATAAAACGCGCTATTCATTGTCACCAATTTGTTTTAGGCACGACGGTAGTTTTACTTTAAAACATTAAATTTCTTGTCTTTGATTAAGTGAACATCAGTGATGAATTCTCTATTGGTATTATTTGCATGGAGCTGCAATAGTTGATCCAGGGAAGTCACAGTAGGTGTCAGTAGACTGGCTCTGAACATTTGGCGCTTCATTTGTTAGCAGAGGGAAACTCGTTTGCGTTGTTTTATTTCGCTTTACTTCTGAATTTTGCTTTTTTTGAACGCATTTTTCTTAAAGAGAGATTTTTTACCATAAAGTTCCAAAATTAAGTGATGGAATTACAATTAATGCTCTTTTGAAAGAAGATGATTATCAGAGAAAATGTTTCCCTCACTGGTGACATCATTTGGAACAGCTTTAGGTAGCACTCAAAAAAGTCTGGATTGTTCGCAAATCGCCTCGTAGCTGTATAAAAAACTCTTGCAGTTAAAAGCATAAAATAAGCTCAGAAACAGTACATTAAATGAGAGAATTACAAGAAAAAAGAATGCAAATAAGAACTCTGAGGGAAATTTTAGCTTCCTTAAAGTTAATTTTGGCTCGCTGGTACTAAATACGCGCCTGCTGGAACAGTTCTATCCCTTTAAACATTGTGCTTCATGTTTTTGTGCATTTAAAAAATTTATTTTGGAAAAAGTATTGTTATTAAAACTTATTTGTGAATCTGCTTTCTGGTTATCTGAGGTGTTTGTTCTAGTATCAGGCTACACTCATTATATTACTCTAGAAATGATTTGCTTGATATGCTGCCCTAATCAAGAGTCCTCTAGTGTTTTTTGAGTCTTTGCTTTTTTTTTTTTTTTTTTTTTTTGTGAGTCAACGTTTTTTGTACTTCCGTAAAATTTCTTATGTCTAGTGTTCAGTCCTAAACCGCCGGTTTATATTCGTTAAAATGTTAAAGAAATGAATTGTTTAGAAGTGCTTTTCCAATTAGGGGTCATCTGCCGGTTTTTGGGTTATTGGTCAGTTTTCCTCGCAAGTTCACTTTCTCTGCTTTTCTTGAAAATTTTGTTCATTGGGCATTTTTGTCTTGACACTGTATTTTAAAGAGAATGGTCTTGAAGTGAAGTGTCTAAGTATGTCTGCTGACTGAGTTTTCGACCATTTTTTTTTGAGATTTTTTAATTATCATTCTATGTTTTTGGCGTATGTTTGCTGCAGTTCCGAAAGACCTTTTACCTTTTTGGAGTGTTCATTTCAGAACCGGCTTATATGTTGTAGAATATTCCAAAAATAAAATATTTAGTTGTGTTAATCTAGTTAGGGTTTCTTTTGAATAATCAGCATTAGGAAATTCTATACTTGTTCAATTTTTGGGCTTTGTAACGGTTTTTATCGTCAGTTTGAAATATTTTTCTAAGTGCTCAATTTGCTGTTGGTACTGTTGAGTAATTCAGTCGGGAAAAAATGGTTGTTCTACCAGTAATTCATTAAATTTGGATATGTTAGCTATGAAAAATATGCTGTTGGTCTAACCAAACTAACATGGCGAGGTAAATAGTGCGTAAGGCATTCAAGCAGATGTAAGCTAGTTTCTTAATGGAGGTCGCATTTGGGTGAAAAGTTTTCCGAAAATGCACAAAAAGTGGGCTTTAGTTGAGTAAAGATGAAGAAGCCAGAAAAAGGACGATCGGTGGTCGTAAGGCAAAGTGGCATAGTTAAAAAATTTTTTGTAGCGCTGTGTTTGCTATAGGTTATTTCCGGGATGAAATCTTGAACAGATGGAGAGTGTTTGGGGACCACAGCGGGATCGATCAAAAAAGTTGACCTTTTTTTGAGAAAAAGGAAAAAGGCCATTAGCCTCTAATTTGACAGACATCCAAATCACTTATTCCCAGAACAAAGTAACGAATATGAGCCGGTCTAGAATGAATATGGAGAGACGAGAAGCATTTCTGAAGTGTAGGTTTATGTGGAAACTGCCAACAAGGTGAGACGAGTGAAACAAAAAGATGAACAGTTATCTAGAACTATTGTTGTTTGGTAACTAGAACGTTCTATTGACGGTGGGACATTATGGAACGAAAATCTTTTGAGGAATTGAAAGGTTAGAAATGAGTCGTTAAAGGTTGTTGTTTTGGGCTTTTCTTTTTCACTCTCTTGCTCTTTTCGTTGTGAAAACTTGCGATTTACCAACTGCATATTTCCAAAAAATGCACATTACTCTTGGTGTCTCATACGCAGGGACTGTGCTCCTGCTTGGTTCATTCGAAATGCCTCTGTCTGCCAAAAGTCTAAGTACAGTGAGTACAGGGACTGAAGATACTGTTTTGTAAGGAAGTGCTCGCATATGTCATCTTTAACAGCGTACTCATGGGAAATGCGGCATTGTGAAAGTGTAGCAGAAAATAGAATCATTTTTAGTCCAAATTTTAGAAAGCCGATGTTAAATTTTATTTGCCATCTTCAACTGCAGCATGCATGAATTGAACAAAGTTTTTGGAGGGGTCTAATTATATAATATGGGATGTCATTGACAGGGTACACTAAAAAGGCAGACGTAGATATTTTGAAGACCGGATGGAAGTTTCTTTACTTTTTGGTTTGCTAATTAAGGTTGGATCGTTCAATAAAATGACGTAAGTGATAAGTGAGGAAAGACAAAGGAAAGATTTTGTCGATATTGTGGAACTTCATTTTTTAGCTATTCGACAAAGTAACAAGGAAACTGCGTAATTCTGCAAAACTAATCTCTCATTTTTCCATGTATTAATGTATCATGTGAGGAAGAACTATTGCGAGTTCTCAAAGATCGCAGAGAAAATAAGGCTGGAAGCCTTTATACAAGGAGTGAGTGCTATTGCGGTACAATACGCCTTTCTTCTACTGTGGACCCATCTTCATTTTTTTATGTGGGCTCTCGACGTTGCTTGATTCATTATTTGTTATTTCAAATTTGTTCGGACATTTTTCTCTTTGACTTTCTACTGGCCTAGTGTGAACTATTATTTTGAGTATTATTAGATTCCACAAAACCAGCTTCTTGATGGCGCATGGTGTAATGGGTATTGTTCATGTTTTTTGATTACACCATAGAAACCTGGAAATTTTGGATATGATCTCCGTAAAAATCTGTTAATAGTTTTCTTCCCTCATAAGTATTTTCTAACTCCTCATGAAATGATTAAATAATCAAAGCTTACAGAAAAGTACATGGAACTTACTGACAGTTGGAGATGTAAAAAGAAGTTTCTGACCTGATATTTATGTGATTTCTTCCTTCTCAACTCTGTATCTGATGAACACGTGTTTACATATGAATTCCTTTATAGAGATACTTTTACGGAGGGAGAGTGGCCCTCTTTGCGATATTGCGCATCACTGCCCTCGTGCGCGCCGCAGGCAACCTTTCGTGTGTGCCTCAAAAATTTTTTTTAGCCAGAAGTTTATTACTCTTTTTTTTTTTCTCGGATACAAAATAAGTCTTTTCCCTCAAACAATCCTGGGATATTTTGCCAAAAAGAAATGCGTGTCTGCTGGAACGTTTTCAGCTGTTTGGAAATGAAGACTTGTTGCGGACATAATTCAGGAACACTTTTGAATTCAATCTCCAATTATGAAGAGATCTTAAGAGGCAAGCCAGAAACGAAAAAGCGACACTCAGTTCTGTTTCAAATGAGAACACGCTGTGTGCATAGTACATATTGGTAAAAAAATTTTGGCGGTCTCAACAACTCCATATAAATATTATCCTTCTCGCATGCTGCGACGAGAGCGATG